ATTCGCGCAATGTTGTTACTTCAGTCACGATTCGTCGATGATGATGATGATTAAACGATCGACGGTGACTCACCAAAAGCAGTCTCTCTATTGTATATCACGGTACGGTGTTCTTTGTAAATGTATAATTACATCTTTACAGTTAACACGTTTTAATAATGAGACGAAAAAAAATTTACATTTTCTCATGAGAAAAGATGCTAATTTTAAAATAACTTGCTAAAACTAAAAGAAAATAAAATTTATTCGAGGAACTTACTCGGTTTATCGACCTAGAAAACATTAAAAAAAATTGTAATAATAGAGAAGTTGAATAGTTTCCATTTGAAAAGAGCTACTTTCTCTAACGACGACCAACGTCGTCGTCGACGACGTAACGCTCATGTAACACGGTAATGAGTAACGTCATAATGGTGGTTATTTCCGGAAAATGGGTCACTGCCAAGGTGAAATCGTGATTACTACACACCGGGGGCTTTATAAGAAGGTAAAGGTGTGTGTGTAATACGGTGAAAAGAGACGAGCTCCACGTCAGTGAAAGAGATAGAGGAGGAGAAAGGTGCAATGGACTTTATTTTATACTCACACACTCTATACTTAAAATCGAATACAAAAAATCAAAAAAAATAATGAATGTAATTTACAGATGTTTACAGAAAAAAAATTGTGACAAAAAGTTGTATACAAAGATAGTCAGTGTGAGAATATTTTAAAAGCACCATCTGCAACGAAACTACGTTTGTTTCTTGCTTAATAGGAACTTGCGAAACAGTCCTGAAAACGACTTCTACTACATTACTACTGCGAAAAAGAAAAAAGAAATACAGTAATCTTTTAGTTGTTGTTGTGTGTGTGTATGCAAAGTCCCATTCTGGTGACCCAATATTCTAATAAGCCTGGATTGCATACGATGGCACTTTTTCGCCAGCTGGAAATCGATGATGCGAAACGAATCATGTTTTTTTCCGTCACTTTAATTAATTAAGTCTAAAATAAAAATTGAGCTATGTGAAATGTCACGTTGCAACATTTTATGGCCGAAAAAAACTTTTAACATTTTAAGAATTAATGCCTTTTTGCGAGATTCACCTTTTAACCTTTTATCCATTTCTTATCTATCGATAAATACATTTAAAAGCTGCGATTGCGTGCAAATTGTTTAGTTCAAAGCCAATCCACGTGTTGTAGCCTAAATAATCATTGCACCGTGGTATTAAAGAAAGAGAGAGATATTCATGGAGGTATAAGGTGTGTACAAACAAACATTTCAATTAGATTTTAATAGTAACATGAACTAAATCCATGAATAATAAGTTTTTTTAAGTCTTATGAAATCGATGACTGTAATAGATACAAAAAAAAAGGAAGTTAAATTATTTTTATGTAGGTTAACCATAAAAATAGATCAATAGCTTTGCGCATACAAGCTTTAAAATAGACTACCAACTAACAAGATTTTCCGTTTACCAGGAAGGTTTCCTTTGTGTGACAATTTCGTGAGGACACAACGAAAGAAAGGATTTTTCTTCAGTCGTCTTGGCAATATGCGGATTCCAAAAAAATCAGTGGAAAGAAAAAGACCTGTTGAGTGTCACTTGGTACACGGTAAATGTATTAAGCCCATTCAGTGAACAACACTTTAACCCGGTCGATTTCTTCGTTTTTATACACTTTCAAGTCCGCCTTGATTGTTGTATCGTTATAAATACCTGATTTACCGCGAGACCGTTTGGTTTGCCAAAATTTTAATGCAGGATGAAATATGGCAAGAACAAAGACATTCTTCTTATGTGGTAGTCAAATAAATCGCAATTAATACCTATAAATCCACGTGGTCATTTTCGTGATTTCTTACAACATTCTTTAAATGATTATTACATTTTTTACTTTTTTTTTAAATCTTAAAATGTTAGCTCTACCCGAGATTTATTCCAACTTCAATTGACATTTATAAATGAAATGTCATAGCTTTATTATTGGTAACGTTCAATTCCTGGTTCAATGCGACAAGAACTACAGATAAACATTGATCAATCTTAATACACGCAACAATAATCGATATAAATCTAAAATTGACACAAGAATCGAGATATTAACAGTGTTGGAAAGACCTACGCCCACGATATCGTGGTGGCTTTTGAAACAAGAACAAACCTTACAGTCAAACCAACATACTCTTTACTTTATGTAAAGTTGACATTTCTCATTCGTAGAATTAATAGTACTCTTATACAGTAATAAAGAGAATGTATTTATTTTTTGATTTAATAAAAATTTTTTTTACTGTAATACATTTTACCACATATTATTTTCATCCTAAAGCGCATTTATGTGTCAACAACGAAGAGTACAAGAGAGGTTCTGACCAAATATTAGAAGAAGAAGACGAGACTTCACAGAGAGAAAACTTATTGAAAGGAGATTGTAAAAGCAAAAATGGATCCAGGAAGGAAAGACTAAATAAATGCTGGTAATAGAGGTTAAAGACTGAATAGAGAGACTGCAATAAGAAGAAAGAGATTGGATAGACGGGAGTGAACACAAGATGGAGAATGTGCAGAGACTAATACATGAAGGAAGGGAGGCTGGAAAGGAACTACAAAAACAGAATGGAAAAGATGAAAGAGATGAGAAAGAGAAGAAAGAAACTGAAATAATGAACTAAGACTAGAATAAGACTGGAAAGAAAAAAAAGAGAGTGGATAGAGAGAACAGTCTTCGAAACGTGGTTATACTGAAGACTGAAACGAAAAATGGGAGACTGGGCGAAGATGAAGGCAACTCGATAGCGGCCGGTATTACAACAAAAGAGATTGAAACCAGAGACTGGAACCATGAAAGAGACTGGTAACAGAAGTAAGAGATTGAACAGAGGCTGTAAAGACAAGTAGGGGTCTTGGCAAGAGAAACAAAGATTGTGAATAGGTAAGAGAGTAACAATAAGTAAAAAAGAAGGAATCATTTTTAAAGCGACCAGAAATAGGAGATAGAGATTATCAGAGACTGGAAAGGGAAAAAGACAGAGAAGAAGAAAACTAAAAAGAGACTTAAGTAACAAAAGATAGAAACTGAGCAAAAACTGGAAAGACAAGAAGGAGACTGGTTATAGAAGAAGAAAGCCGAGTTAAAGCTAAAAAGAGAAAACGGGCTGGTTAGAAAAGATGATGACTAATAGGGGACTGCTAACAGAAGATAGAGATTAAAGAGAGAAGAAGAAGAAGATCGGAAAACTGTTCAGAGCGTCTAGTTGACGGGAATACCTTTTTTGTTCCGCAGTGTAATGTTATCTCTCACTTCTTTGAAACTGGATAATGATTGAACAGCGACTGTAGGAATAAGAAGAAGGTTATAAATAGAAGACGGAGAGTGAGCTGAAATTGGAAACACGAGAAGCAGACCGATAACTGAGTAAGGACGCTAAAAAGTTTTCAGTAGATGATTGAGTATATTGCGGTTCTATACTTGGCAGGTCATTTAAAAATTGCTAATAGAAGAAAGAAACTCAATAGAGACCGGAAAGAGAACTAAATGGATACAGTAAACTGTTTCAAGTGAAGCCCAGAATTTTTTTTTGAACTCATTGGGATTATTTTTTTGATAACATTCTTTTTGCGTTCTCTATAATACACTCTTCTTAAAATTGTTAATAGATATTAACATATTCTTTGCAACATTTTAAGAGATTTCATGTAACGTCAATTATCATAACTTTACCGCATCCTTTTTTGTCTGGCAATTTGTAATAATACTAATAATGCAGATGCAAGTAATGACGGTGAATCCCACACGCAAACTGTACGAAGATTTTAAAAAATGAACGTAGGTTGGAGTCTGTATTAATCAACAAAAATTTTAACTCTTAAATCTTGTCATGTTCTCCAATTTAGTTCTAATCTAAACCTTTTCGATATCTCAAAGAATAACTTGTTAGGTTTTAAAATGCTCAACTAGGAACCAGCTGTTCTTTTTCCCATGGTATCGTCCATTCCAAAAACATTATAACCCGGTAACACCTGTGCCTACCGTTATTATAAGAAGTCGTAAAAGGAGAGAAGAAGAAGTCTACGTTCTATAATTTAAACAAACTATAGTGACATAATGCGTGTGGGCAAGTAGTGTGAATCGCGTTGTTAGTTTTCTGGTCTAGCGATTTATAGGCTATCGACTTTCTCTGACCTTGAATGCGGTTGCATAACGTGGTATCCCTCCCGTCGCGGTACAAAGACTCCGTCCCAATGAACGAGTTCTCTATAGAGATACAACGATCGGTTCGTTTCATTCTCTGCCATTGAACGACGCTAAAAATAGCGGAAACCGCGACAACGACAGAGCGTCGCGTCTGTTTTGGAACTTGGCCAGATCACAGCATTACGACGTCTTCTCAAGGGCGTATTTTACAATATGCACCACAACCGTATGTGTGTGTATATATGCCCCTCAAGTCTGTATTATTTATAACCTGAACCCAGCGCACATGTACATTTGGCCGGATAGCGTAAATAAAGCCTTGAATGTATTTTTGGGTTTTAAGAATTGGCGAATACGGTTTACGTAGAAGGTAAACCTGGAGGTGGTTAGACAAAAATAATAATATATAATCTTAGATTGTTATTGGTAAGATGAATTCGCATAACAAAAAAAGAAATTTAAATTTCGGAGATCTTGTTTTAAGGGGAAAAATAAATCACACAGGTGAAATTCAATGTCGATTTCACTTTTGCCAGTTAAACACGTCGCGCCATGCCTTTATTTGGTTGATTATGTCACAAAGGTAAAGTTTACTGAAAGCACTCTTTCGTAACTACTTCTAAAAAAGAATCTGATGGGGAAAGAGAATCGACATATTGTGGAATGTAGAACAATAATGTAAAATTATGAAAGATCTAAACTCACAAATTAATCTAATAATAATGTGGAAAAATATTAATGTCCGAAACGCAACACATTCTTTGAAAACATGTTTTAATATCAGCATTAAAATTAATGTTTTTTTTTTGTAGCTGTACGAGCAGATCGAATGAGAGGTGGTAGAAATAAATTCGGACCAATGTACAAAAGAGATCGAGCGAGAAAACTCCAAATAATGCGACAACGACAACTCGCCGCCCAAACACTTCGGAGTCAAATAGGCGATGGTGGCATATACGGAACGCAACCGGGCACGTCGCCTTTCAATTTGCACAATATCAAACAAGAAATCCAAATACCCCAGGTCTCGTCACTAACATCCTCACCGGATTCGTCACCATCCCCGGTGGCAGTCGCTTTAGGTCAACTAAACCCCTCAGCCCTCGCAGGTCAACCGGGTCAAAGCCAACAACCAGTCCTGCAAATCGTCAATATCCAAGGAGGAGGCGGAGGTGGTGGCGTCAACCAACAACAACAACAGCAACAACTCGTAATGACGACGGCGGATACAAAAATTTGGGGCTCGGCGGCGAATTCAACGACGACGTCACCTCATTCGTTAAGTCCAAAATCGTTCCAATTCGAAGCGGTCGTCCAAGGAGCTGGCGGGGGAGGCGGAGGCGGCGGCGGTGGAGGTGGCGGGTCTACCGTGAAAATGTCACCGTTGATAAGGGACTTTGTTCAAGCAATTGACGACCGTGAGTGGCAAAACAGTTTGTACCAGTTACTGCAAGAGCAGACGTACAATCAGTGCGAGGTGGACCTTTTCGAACTTATGTGTAAAGTGCTTGATCAGAACCTGTTTTCGCAAGTTGACTGGGCAAGAAATTCAGTGTTTTTTAAAGATCTCAAGGTAAGAATAAAATTAATAGTAGGTTTCTATTTTGTTGGTATAGATAATGTAAATTATAAATTTTAGTTTAGAGTTGGGTGATTAACCGAAATCTTAAAACATAGTATTAACATTTTTTTGGTAGACGATTCATGACGATGGTTTTTAGAATCTTACATAATGTACTTTATTCATTTATAATGCATTATATAATTGTTATAAAAAAAGTTTTAGTGGATTGTAGTTAGGATATAACTTTAATGTTATTGTTATCAATTATTAGTGCAACATTGGTTATAAATAATTGTAGCTAAAATTTAGGTAGATTATAGAACAAACAAATTAGTTGTCCAAATTTAATTAACTTATATAGGGTATATTTTTATAGGGATATCACTCAACAAACAATAACACAACATATAGGCCTTACCAAAACCAGTATGAAGAAACATTTTATCCACAAGAATATTAAACAAGAAGAAGAACAAATTATTAAATTAAATTTCGTTTAGATAATTACTGTGATTATTTTACAATATTAAATAGAATTACTGTATAGATGCTAAATAAATGAATAAAGTACAAGTGTAATTCAAAAAAAAAACGTTATGTGTTATGTTTTTACAAGATATAATCTTTATGTTGAACGATAAAACAACAAAACAAAAGTTAGGGAGTGTCCTTTCGCTTTGTCGAAACGATCGCACCATTTTCAGACTGATAAAATGCGCGAACGTTATTGTTCGGAGTCGGGACAGAAGTATGTCGAGAACAGTGTGTGATAAACTGCTTGAACGTTGGTTGGTTTGTACTTTACTTCTCGGGAGCTCACGCCGATCTTGTTTGTACTTACCAACCTACCCACAAGAACTTGCAAAATCACGCGCGTTCTCCTCGCAACAGTCAACAAGACAAAACAATTACAACGTACGTTGTGCAATGACGAAAAAAATTAAATAACAATACTTGTTACTAACAATATGAAATAATTTTTTATCTTAAACATAAAATCAATTAGTTACCGTTAAAATAGTTTAAGATAAGTAATAATTGAAACAAATTATAATTTTATATCGCACTTGATTTGATATCATAATACTCGTCTTTCAACTACTACTACAGTTGTGACACTCAGAAGCTGTTAATCACTCTTCTATCTTGCAAATTTTATCAGATAGTCGTGGTTGTTGTCAAGGTCCATTTGTACCAACCTAAGTTCTTTGAAATGTGCTCAAGCCATGTAATTGATATCAATAATTTGCAAACAGATTTTCATTTTTTATACAATGATGTTCTAAACTAGGAAAATCTATTGGTATAATCAAAAATCATACCAATCATGATGCGTTTAAATACATCATATTCACTTAGAAACTTTATGGACGAAATTATTTGTGAAATGGAATCTATTTATGTATTTCAAAAAATGTTTGAACACAGGAATTTGCTTGGTTTAATAAAAAATTACATCAAAAAGCTTAATTATGCTTCTAAATACTTCGTATCATCGTTCATATTTGCAACAAATTTTGAAAATCGAAATGATTTGTGTCACTAGGAGATCGATTGGTTTAATGAAAAATCATACTAACCGACTTCATAATGCGTCTAAATACATAACATTCACTTAGAAACTTTATGGTCGAAGAATTTTCTTGGGTTAATGAAAAATGACTTCAATAAGCTTGTTCCTGCTTCTAAATACTTGGTATAAACTTTAAAATTTTATATTCGCAACAAATTTTGAAAATTGAATTCTTTTGTATGAATTTACGAAAGTTCCATAACTAGGAAAATCTATTGGTGTACTCAAAAAAGCGGTAAATCAACTTCATGTTGTTTCTAAAAATTTCGTATAAACTTGCAAACTTCATGGACGAAATTATTTCCAAAATCAAACATACTTTATAATTATACGATCTTTTCTAATACTATTTATTTAAAACACTTGAAACACTCTGTATAAATCGTAAACTCCTTTCGGTTTCTATATATTCAATGCAGTAATCGCATTGACTTTCCATTTTCGCGTCAGAATTCGCTGCAGGCGATTTCACAACATCTACAACTACTACAAGCACTTATACTTGACCCAATGACAATGGCCCACTTTAACGTTTGCGGCCCGAGAATATTTATTTATTATCACAATTTTAACCAAACGAACAAAAAAAAAAAACAAAACAACTAATAAAAATTAACAGTTAAACACTAAAGAGCGTATAATTAGCCATAATTATTATGTAAGTTGAAAAACTTGTTTCAATATTTGTGGGAGGTGGATGTAAAAAAAAATTTAAAATTAAATTATGATTGATAGATAATATTTTCGTTTAGCGTTTTACTCGTAAAGTTTTTAATTGATTTATTGATGTTTCGTTTCGGTTTTGATGGAAATTTTATTGCTGCTAGTCTCGGTTAAGGTGCAGACAAATAAAAAGAAACAAGTACAAGTATGGCAACGGTTGCTGCTGTCGTTGTGGATGGTTCGGCTTCGATTGCTATCTAGGTCGACGGAGTTGTGGTTGTGGTTGGTAGTGTTGTATTAATGTTTATTGACAGTTTGTATACATGAAGACAGATTTTTTCCTACAAACTTCTACAATAAACGACTAGATAAGTATTATTTTAGCGTTTTTCAAGGGTAATGTAAAAAATCATATTTTTGAATATCTTGAAAGTTGGAAGTCTTTACCATTGTTGTGATTTCAAGTCACCTTGTTATCAATATAAGCAGCAGTTTTTGAGAACGCACCTAACTATAAGGGTTTACTTATTCTTTTAGATTTCTATTAATTATTTGTTAATATTGGAAGATAATCCAGTAATGATTTTTTTTTAATTATTATTCTTTTGAACAAGTTTGAATGGAAATATAGAATACAACAAGACGGTTTCACCTTTAAGCACTTACGTTAAACCCACGCAAAGTGCTTAGTTACCCATAATGGAAATCCGTTCGGCCGTTACACTTTCGGTTTCAAAACTGTGCTGGCGCTATACATATAAACGAGTTCGCAGAAAACGAGGAGAGCGTTTTGTATGTCGCGACCGCTTCGTTCACAATTCAATTCCAGTTTCCTATTACGTTTCTATACACAACCACCACTTTCAGAACAAACCTCTCTCGATTCGTATGCTATAGAAAATAACTATATCACGAAACGGAGTGATAATCCGTATTAATTTTCAATGTAAAATTGAATTAAATATCTTAAAAATATTAAATACGAACGTGTCGGTTATTATTTCTTACCGTTTACGTATGAATAATTTATGTCGTTCATATCATTAACATTTTAATGGTTGTCGTTTTCAGGTTCACTGTAATCGAGTTTTCTCTCTCTCTTTAAGTGTTATGTTATTAAATCAGTGAGAAAACGCAATGTTGGTTAGTTATATACACGTTTTAATACCGATTGCGTAAGAAATATTTCACCTCTAGAAGACAAAACTCGTGGTGAACTCAACTCAACCACCAGGATAATATCTCGTCTCGTTTATGTCTTATAGCGAAAATACCAATCCACCGAAGAAATATTTTCAACTATTAAATTCCGAGACGAACAATTTCTTATTTAATTTTTTTTTGAAAAAGCCGCACCCGTTGTATGAAATAGAAGTTATTCAAATGTAAAATATCACGTGATCAAATCGTTTTAAGTCAATTTATGTGCGTTTTTTTTTGCTTCGACTCATTCTCATTACATGTGTGGTCTTTACAGTCATTATGTTCGTTATTTATTTATTTTTTTAAATTTTATTGTGAAGTTTTTTTACTAAAGTCTTTTAGATTTAAGGTGCGCCGTTTAAAATTATTACTGCCACATTTCTGAAACTCCAAAGTTCAACTTTCACCTTAATACCTAAAGATCTTTGAGGTTCATAAGTCGTTCTGAAAGTTTAAATGCAAGAATCTGCCTTTGGGCTTCGTATAAAATCATTTAGAAATAGAGGCCGTTTCAAAAGTAATATAGCTTCGATTTAAGATAAAGTTTTGTTTAAAAGCTTTAACAACATGATTTTTCCTGGTTGTACATAAAAATTAAACTAAAAATCCATGTTATAATTTAATTTGTATTCTTACCTAAAGTGATTTAGTACGGGATATATTTGTTACATCAAGTTCGATTTCCAAAATCATAATTCTGCAGAATTTGGATCCATCAGTTCTTTCTTAGTGACCAACTTTGCAAATTGCTTCTTTCGATAGATATGATTAAAGGCCATTTCAGTTATTAACAAACCATGTTATAGAAGTCTAAGAAGTTTTTCCATCTTCTGTCAATCTTTGTCAAAGATTTTGCTAAGTTAGTGAATTCGATATCTATCTTTCACATCTGTGTCAGTTCTTTGGATTAAATTTTGAGGTTATTAAAATAATTTTTCCAAATTTAGCAATCACGATTAAGTCATGCAGATTATACCACAATGATCCTTTGCGTTAATCCTCTTAAGTCAGCTTCGAATCGTAAACTCTCGATCTTTGAGTCCTAGCTCTACCTACCCATAGTGACTCTTTAGGAGCTGCGCATCGCGACAACACTGTCGGTAATTAAGACAGAATCGCGTTGATGCATTCTTTCCTATCAAGATCGCTGGGGATACCCACGGACCGCATTCTTCCTTCTGGCCTCTTCACGTCGTGCTAAAGAAAAGTATCTAGGTTGTTGTCGAATTGGCCTTGACTGGATTATAACATTATCCCATCTTGATATTATAATTCGCGATTGGATGATTTTTCGAACAGCTCTTTTGCAAATACCTGTAGTAGTATTAACATTTTTGAATTAGTTATGATTTGTGGTAAAACACTCATCTTAGGAATTGATTAACATTACGAATGAAAGATAGTATCTTTTAAATGCGTTTCTTTTACAGCTTCGCACAGATGAGCTTTAATGTCCTAATTTCTTGTATAGTATAGTTTAGCTGTTTGTAGATGATACGCACATTTTAATTCCTGTACCAGTTGAATTTTGTATGTGAAAGAATATGACATATTTTTTTTTTAATATTTTTTCTTGTACGGCCCAAGTTAACTTTTATTTTAGCTGTTCATGGTTTCTTAGTACGTGGAAGGTCAACTACCAACTCAGTTTGGTTTCAACGATCTTCAACGTTATAATTTATGGCTACTCAATTTTTACAGGCATCGTTCAGAATCATTTGGAGTAACCGAAAGTCATTGAGATGTATTCAAATCCTTTAAAAGCAAATGGCATTCAGAAGAACTTAGGGCTGTTTTGAGTAAGTAGGAGCCATGGTAAGCTGTTGGGAGCTGTTGAAAAATATTAAGCACTGATAGTCTTTAAAAAGGTATTAGGCACAACTGGATTCCAATAAAAATGAGAGGGATTGGTACACGTTTTGAGTAAATGAGGGACACTGAAAGCAATATATTGAAACTGATTGAGATGTATTGTTAACTATTGAGGGCTATTGGGACTTAGTGAGAGACATATTCATATTTAAATAAGATTGCTTTTGAGATCTGATGTGAAGAAAATCAAAAAGACATTATTGAGATGCCATTGTACTCACAATAAGAAGTGTGAGCTCTGGAATCAACAAGACATACCACGCGCGATATAATCAAGTTAATGCAAGAAACGTTCGATGAGCGCATAATTTCGCAATATGGGCCGGTGCATTGTCCTCCACGATCGTATGATATAATACCCACGGATTTATTGCCGATATTTACTTCACTCGTTCGGGTAGGGCGCATTGCCGTTGCAATAATATGAGTTTGAACTTATAAAACGGAAAGGAACCCATTATGTTTTGTTGTCAGAAGCAGTATTCGTTTTGTTATTTGCTTAAGGTAACTAACAAATACAAAATCTTTCTGTGTTCTTTCTGTGTAAAATTTTGTTATATCTAGAACACACATCAACTAAGTTGCGTGTTGCTAAAACGTTTCTCGATAACACGAAAGTTTGGGTTTGAACACTAGTATTGATTGACACTAGATTATGATTTCTAGCATTATTGGGAAAGTTGTCCTAAAGTTTTAGTTTCTTAAATCTGTAATAACATACCTTACATTTTTTGGTTTTGCACTATGCTTTGACTATCTTGTTTCATCCTGCCTTAATCTGAGGTTACTATCATTATGAAAATGAATTTTCGCCATGTCATTACCATTTAAAATGTTGTTCAAGTGCTGAACTACATGATGCGGAATTGATAAGTTGTCCCATTCGGCAAAGTCCCCTTAAAATTTCTTGTATTGAGCTGATACTGATGTGTATAATTACAAAGAATTACAAAGTTACAAAGCACAAAGAACAGTGTATGTGTAATATTAATTATGATACCAAAAAAATCACTACTATCTCATTTACGATCACTTACAACCTCAAAAAGTGCTTTGACATTTGCTGTTCAAATTACTTTTTTTATACAAACTTTCACTTTAAATTGCAACAAATTAATCAAACGTACAACTTTTTATAACCATTATAAACATGAACTAAAAAAAAATGTGGAAGAAATTCTTTTATTTAATTAGTTGATTCTTTGTTTATAATTACTTAAAAATATACCTGTATTAAAATAACATTCATATACTTTAAGTTTTAATTTACGGAGAAAAGGTAACTTGTAGACCGAAGAGGTCAGGTAAATTATTTAGGTAGGGGATTTCTTCGTGTTCAACAGGTGTACTTCCCTTCCCATGGTGGATATCAAGTCAGACGAAAGCTAATTAACATTATAGACCTCCCACTTTTACCGTTCTTTTTCGTCGAAATTACACCAAACCGAAAAAATATTTAAAATTTTCATTTAACTAGTATTTTTCGATGAAATTTCAGGTTGATGACCAAATGAAACTTCTGCAGCATTCGTGGTCGGATATGTTGGTGCTTGATCATATGCATCAACGTATGCACAACAACCTACCTGACGAAATGACACTCCATAACGGTCAGAAGTTTGATCTCCTAAGTCTGGGTTTGTTAGGAGTTCCAACGCTGGCCGAACATTTCAACGACATCACAAGTAAACTGCAAGAGCTCAAGTTCGATGTTAGCGACTACATTTGTATAAAGTTTATGCTCCTGTTAAATCCAGGTACGTATCTAAGCTAATTAAAAACGATAATCATAAATCGTTAAATAAATATGGTTAGTGACGGTCATTTTATGAAAGATGAGTGAAATTGACGACAACTGCAATAATTGGATTGCAGTTTTTGAAATAGGAGGCGAAAAATACATAATACGTAATTTATATTTATGCAATTTTTCTGTGGCAAATTAACTTATAGTATTTTTGTTTTGATTCTTTGGGTATTACAGATGTTCGAGGTATAACGAACAGGAAACACGTCCAAGAAGGTTACGAACAAGTTCAAAGGGCTTTGTTAGAATATACTTTAAATGGTTACCCACAAATTCAGGTTGGTTACATAATTTCTTTTAAAATCATTTGTGCTTCATTTTAATATAATTTTTAAAATATTCTTTCTTATTTAAACAGGATAAATTCAGTAAAATGGTACAATTGCTTCCGGAAATCCGTTCGTTGGCTACAAGAGGAGAAGAGCATCTTTACCATAAACATTGTAACGGCAGCGCGCCGACACAAACGCTTCTGATGGAAATGCTTCATGCAAAAAGGAAATAACGGCCCACGAATACGTTGATTTACCAACACCACAACCACCATCATCATCGTTACCATATCTGTGTGCAATACGACAGGCTTGTTAAGAAAAAGGAACACGTCGAACCGTTCGAAATGATGATACTACTACCACTAATGATTATTATTGTAAATAGAATGATGTATTTTTCTTCTTTTTGGAAATCTCTTATTAATTATTGTTGACATTGATGCCTTCATGAAGTACAAAGAATGAGCCAGAGAGAGGGCGGTAAGCTGGTGCCACCAGATTTATTACTATTTTTTTAAAAACCAACAAAAATAAATAAAAACTGATAATGTATTTGTAGATTTAAAACGGAATGATAAAACGGAATACATTTTTTATAGTTTTATCGCAAATTTAAACCAGACACCTAGTGAGCTGACGGAAAAAATAATTGTGTAAACTTTTAATTGTTATTTAATTATACAGGATCATTAAAATTATTACAGACGTAAACATTATCAGCTTTTTTGAAATCAATCTTAATAAACCTGTTGTTATTCATTCATAAATTATTTTTTCTTATAAACAAGTATTTTAAATTGTATTTTAAGTTTTAAATTAATGCGTAATTATTGTCGATTTTTGCTTAATTTTAAATGGTATTAAATTTTTATAAATCGATCAAAAATTTCGTTCAAGAAATATACTACGAAATTAACTCAAATTACCTGTTTTGGTAATTAGATCAGAATTGCTATTGCAGGGATTTGAATCGGTGCTGGAAATCGATTCTTATACCTCTAATCGTTATGACAAAAACAAACCTAAAGTCAAATTGGTATAATTTGGGTTAAAATTGACGATTATAGAAGAAAAGAAGTTATTCATATTTGACTGAACGTGTTGAAATTTTGTCTGATATTGCAGAATTCGGCGGATTGGGTGAATGAGAGATCAAAGAGAAATGTGGTGTCATATTACTGGAGATACAAGAAGTTAATATCTACAAAGTGTTAACAGTTTCTACGTAAAATTTGGTACTTTTAGGTTTCTGTACATTTATTTTAAGATACAATGCAAAAATAACACTACATTGGCAATTACTTTCTGGGCATGAAATATTTCTCCTTTTCCTTGATTGAGATTTAGTTATCTGAAATCATTTCGTCTTCAAGCGTATTTAAAATGTAGTATTAGATTTGAAGAGGGTTTTTAAAAGCTAAATTTTGTCTATTGATACAGCAGGATCCACTGCTGTACTTACATTTGAGGTAACCTTCATGATACGACCATGAAAATCAAAAAGCAATATTTTTTCTTAAAAATGACAATCAATAGCACGAAATTATCACCTCTTGTTTTAATTTTGCTGATTGTCATTTCAACATGATCAAACATATCTTGCAGTTTATAAATTATTTAAAATAGGAATGTTGTTCATTGTAGGTATTTGTTCCTATCTCTGCATAAATAGAACATCTTTCTTGGGAATAAATCAAATTAATTAACTAATTTCTGGTACTTTCCAGAACTTTATCAGATAACAAGTCGTCTTAAAATCGATTTATATTTATTTAGCATCAAGCGTTTAAAGAGCGTTGTTTTTATCTTTGGTATGTTTCGCTTGTAAATAACGTAAAAGTTGAGAAGAATCTGCAATTGAATGCAGCTACTAGATAAAACATCCCCTCATATTACATATTTTGGTTTAACACAATTTTTATCTCTTTTATATATAAATCTATATTTAATATATTTATCGTAGTATTTTCTATATTTGAACGAATAAGCACTGAGCTTTTTCAATGCTTTTTGCAATGCTTATTTCATTCTTACCAATAAAAACACCTTAATGTTCGTAAAATATTTATTAGAATAGCTATCAAGGAATCTTTTATATCAGGGTTTCCCAAACTTTTTTTCGTCGAGCCTCATCGGATTATAAAGACTATTTGCATGCCCCCCTTTAATTTTTTCTGTTGATAGAAATAATCTCGGCCGACTTCGAAGACCCCGGCCGAAATAATTTTTTTTAATATAAGAAATTTTTCAAATCATTATAATCATTACTTGTTTAACAGCGACTAACGACGTCAGGTTGGGAAATCTTGTTTTATTTGGTGGTATTTTCGCTTTTTGTATAAAATTTACAAATGGTTCAAAATTTTTTCATTTTAATTATGAAGTAGATCACTGCTCTCTATATCTTCTTTTAAGCAAGCAAAGAGTAGATGTGAATGTGAAATGTTTTCCTTATAAATTATAACAGAAGCAAATATCTTATTTGCTAATAACACCATTACTAGATTCTATTTCAAATTCGTTCTCAATTACAACAATGAAAAATACATATTATTAGGCTCTTTTATTCATTAAAATTGCAAAAATACTTTCCTCTTGCCAAGCGCATTAAAAAGCAGTTTAACCATTTTAGAGTGATTAATTCCCTATTTTCAATATTTACACTAAACAGAAAGCACAAAATAACGTTAAGCAATAACAATAGAACACAATTACAGCTAACAGAGGGAAATTCGAAGATTAAACGGTTAATTTTAGTTGATGTTATATGCACTATGAAAAGTAGACAATTTCGTTTCACAATTTTTGATTTTAATTCAAACTTGTTGTTTGGCAAAGTCACCACATATAATTTAATTTTTATGGCTATTGATGATACTTTAACACAAATAACCCGAAATCTATTGTCTTAGATAAAATAAACAAGATTTTTTTTCATAAAATTATCTTTCAAATTAATAGATTGTTATCGATTATTATTTAATTGATAAAAATTATGGAATTTTATGGTAGAACTTTAAAAGTACTTCAGATTTAAAGAAAAAAGTCAACTCCTTAACCAATAACATTGTTAAAGCTTGTTGGGCTAAATAACCATATTTTGGTGTCTAGAATTTCCAAGTTTGAGATTTTGATAATTTATTTCGGGAGTCACACAAAAAACGACTCAAGTAACTCGAACTTTTTTCAAAATCAGTTAATGTACTATATGTATCTGTAATATATCTATTTTAAGCTATCAGATGTCCACACAACAATACAATTCCAAAATATTATTTTACTGTTAAAAATTAATCAACCCAACCCATTTGAATAATGTCTGTGATTCTATCTAGATCTGTAGATTTTAAAGCTAGTTCTGTTGATTAAATTATTAAAGGATTGCCAAAATTTGTCTACCAAAATTCAGAAGTGATCCACATGGTGAGGAAGCCCTTTGAAAGAAATAGCATCAAAAAAACATGTATCTAATCAGAGATTAAGAAATGGTATCGGCGGTAATCCGTCGGATTTGATTCAATTTTAAAAGAAAATCTGCGAATGAAAAGTTAATAGAGTCGATTTGGATTGAGGTTCGTTAATCTTATAGCAATTCCAATCAAGATTCTAATTGAATCCCATTAATCTATGATGGGAGGGAACCAAAGTTAAGATCGAAGAAATAGTTATAAAACAAATACGAAAACATTTTGTCTGTTAATTTGGATAGAACAAAATCCGGATTATGATATTAATAAACGATGAACATGTTACTATTGCTGTTATAATTCATAATGGGATAATGGAGAAGAATCAGAAATTGCAATAAAAATTGTTTATCAAAATGAAAAAGTTATTTTAATAAAATCAGGTTATTTAGAAAATGTTGAAGATTTACCAGAAGAAATGTTTTTGAAAAAGTTATTAAAAGGATGTTATATATATTATATTAAGAGTTAGAGGAGGTTATAATATTTTATGTTACGATCCATATGATTTAATGTTTATTGTTATTTGTAAGATAACATCAAAAGACCTAACATCACATAAAAATAAAAATTGATAAAACAAAATTTTAGCAAATAATCACCAAATACATAAGAAACGTAATACAATTAAATAATAATCTGTTTTAAGCAAGATGTTTCTAAAAAATGATAATGTTTGAATCTGTAATTAAAAAAATGTCCTGTATTCTTTTTATTTTGTTGGTTTAATATTTTTCTTTACAATTTTGAATAAAAATAATTTCTTCTTATGTGACAAATGTGTTAAAATCTTTCAATTTATGTTGAGTTACCAACTTTATCTTCTTCAGCACCAATTTAAAAATGAAACAAAAAAAGAAATACCAAAACTAACATATCAACATAACCAAAAAGATTTTTTATCGATTTTATTGAATATTATTGAGCAAATCATTTCTTTTTTTTAATAGAATTTTTAATCTAGTCATTATTTTTTCTTTTTATTTCCACTTTTGGCACATGATAAGAAAAACGAATAGAACTAAGATTACAAAAAAGAAAATGTACTAGTAATTTAAAGAGAATGTTTTTTATACAAGGCACAAATAGGCTTTCCGTCCGCAATCGTAGATGATATAAAAAATATTAAAATAAAGCGACGATAAGTGTGTATGTTATAACAGAAAATTAAGCTTAATGATGTTCTGGCGTACGCGCTGGGCCACAGAACCGTGCTCCTCTCGTCTTGCTTTATACGTTCTTTACCATGTTAAGAATATCAATTCATCTTTTTTTGTTGTTTTATTTTTAATGTTTTGTTCAATTTTATCGAAACTTTCCGACATTCCAGATGCGCTCTGGACGGTGGGATTCAAAGGGCATCCTAAAACTCTAGCGTGTAATGTTTCTTCCTTTAATCTTCAGAGTGTCGTCGATTGAATGCGTGTCTAGTTGAATTATTTTTTTTATTTGAGTATGAATGAGAAATTTTGTTATAAACCTAAAAATGGAGATTGTAATTGTAAAAAGAATTGCACCAATCAAAGTTAAAAAAAAGTTTGTTTTTATAAAGCATCAACCATTGACCTTAGTACGGTGATTTTTTTTAACCGCGGGCTCCTTTTTAGCTTAACTATGGTGATGGACTAACTAACTAAAAAAAAATTGAAACCTTGTAATATTGCTGTAATTAAAATATATAGTATGTATACACTTTTATTAATTAATATTATTGATGATTATTGTCTTTACCTTATTATTAATTATTTGTTAAGTATCTAAGTGTTTAATTTTATTTTACTATTATATGTTTATATTTAGTTAATAATAATAATAATAAAAAACACACACATAAATATATATTATATATATACGAATGTTGAAGAGTTTTTTACAAACAATGAGCAAGGTACTGTGGTCTAAACTTTGTGTTGTTATAAATCATATTAAATGGTATAAATCTATAACGATTGTTAATTGTGTTGTGCAGGCTACCTCTAAATACATATATATTGATTGATAAACTGAAAAATAATGATAAAAAAATACGACGAAGTCTCGCTGGTTTTCGAGACCCCAAGATTATATTTATCTATATGTAGGAGAGAGACAGTGTTTTTCAACCCTATTCCCTCGTTGTACATAATATCTAATGTATTAAAAGAGAAAACTAAAAACGAAATTCACCTCACCCGAATATTCTTAAACAAAATACTTATGTGACGACGTTTTAACAATGATATAAGAAAACGACGATTTTTAGAGAAACAAAGAATTAAAAGAGATATGAGAAAAAAGGAAGAGATGATGTATTTTTATATTAGTTTATTTTTTTATCGCTTGTTGATGATGATTACAAATAAATTTACTTAACTAAAGATTATTAAAAATATATATATTTACATTATATATATAAAAATGATCCATTGTTGTCTCTCGTAATTGTTGTGGCTGGGAAACACTGTGTAGAAGATGAAGTATCTTGCCGTGTGAAGCATATATGGGCCCAGAGCTTACATCAAATATATATTTATATATATACAAAATACGTACATTTATTATTTAATTAAGCAGTGTGATCGAAAGGTTGTACATATTAATTTATGTGGATATAAATTGACTTTGTTTGTAGAAATAAATTCACCGTCAACTAAATTACTTGCTTTTCTTTTATCGAATTCCTTAAATCTCAAACAACAATAAATCAAGTTAATACAGTAAAACCTCCGTATAACATAGGACCTCATTATAACGAAATTCTGATATAACGAACAAAATATTTAAATATAAAACTCTATCTAGTTCTAGGTCTAATGTTAGTTCTAGTTTTACACGCATTATCACTAGAACTAACACAAGACCTAGAACTAGAATCATTCGGGTTTAGCCGTCTTGAAAGACGTGCGGCTAAATCCGAATGTTTCTAGTTCTCGATCTAAAGTTAGTTTTGCACTAGCACTATCACTAAAACTTACACAAGACCTAAAACTAGAAACACCTGGGTTTAGCCGTGAGTCTCTTAAAACGGCAAAATCCGATTGTTTCTAGTTCTAGTGTTAGTTGTAGTAGATGGCTGGTAGGTGGGAGGTAGCGCTAGTTAACATAAAATATCACTATGTTGCATATTTTTGTCTAGTGTTAGTTCTAGTTTTACACTGGCACTATCACTAGAACTTGCACAAGACCTAGAACTAGAAACATTCGGATTTAGCCGCACGTCTGTCAAGACGGCTAAATCCGAATGATGCTAGTTCTAGGTGTTGTGTTAGTTCTAGTGATAGTGCTAGTGCAGAACTAGAACTAACACCAGACCTAGAACTAGTATCATTCGAGTTTAGGGGTCTTGAAAGACGTGCGGCTAAATCCGAATGTTTCTAGTTCTCAGTCCAGTGTTAGTTCTAGTTTTGCACTAGCACTATCATTAGAACTTACACAAGACCTAAAACTAGAAACATTCGAGTTTAGCCGTGCGCCTGACCAACAGAATTTTGGATACTACCTTTCCCGTATTAGTCCGTTATATCGAAGTTTTGCTGTACTATAATAAAACAAATATAAAATAAAAATTAGTAATAATTTATTTTAAATTTAAAAAAAAATATATCTCAAAACTTTCAATAAAATTCACAAAATTTAAACGAAAAACTTGTTTCTTATTTAATTTTTATTACTTTTTCCCTTTCTTTCCTTTACCACCTTTTGCGCCTTTATCTTTTCCACCTTTTGCTCCTTTTGCACCTTTACCTTTACCTTTAGGTGCATTAGGATCGATAATGATTTCCGCTGGAATAACATAATCGTCGGCTTGTAAAAATTCAAACGAATACACAGATGAAATGTCGCTGCTCTTAATCGACTCGCTGCCTGTGTCGACAATTTCGATAGTTTCATGACTCATAACAGAAATATCATCAGCTGCAGCAAAGCTTCTACATAATCTTTCAGCTTCACTAAGAAGTTTCGTCCATCTAGCTGTCGATTGGGCGGCTTCTTCAAGTTCTGGAGGTAATTCGTGGTCGATTGGGATATCGTATAGAGTATAATCAGCGCATTTTGGACATTTTGTAACAGGTTTGCCTTTGAATGCTTCAGAAATTTGCGTTTCAAAACGGAAACAATCTGATAAATATGTTGACCAATTTGTAATAATTGTTTCAATCTTTTCACGATCAGAATAAAGCATATTTTTGGCTCCAAGGACATCTCTAAAGTTTCTTAAACATTTTCCGTATGTAGCGATATTATTAGCGAATTCTTCAAGCCATGAATCATAAATTTTCCAAGATACATAAGAAACTGTATTTTCTGGATGTGTATCAACCATTTCCATCGCCATGCCTTTTGGTGTTGGTTCTACTAGTTCTTCTGGTATTAATTCTTGTTCTAATAGTTCTTCCAACATTAATCCTTCAATTCCAGGATATTCTTCACCCATTTCATATTCGCTTGGTAGTAAGTCTTCTTCACCAATACCTTCTCCGGCAGCTTGATCGCCTTCACCAATACTTTCTTCACCCTCTAACTCTCCAATTATTCCTTCTTCACCTTCAAGACCAGCTTCTCCGCCTTCTCCACCTTCTTCGCCTTCTCCACCTTCTTCACCTTCTACGCCTTCTTCACCTTCTACACCTTCAGCACCTTCAGCGCCTTCAGCACCTTCAGCACCTTCAGCACCTTCAGCACCCTCAGCGCCCTCAGCACCTTCTTCTTCACCCACATGTTCAGCAGCTGCTTCTTCTCCCAAACCTTCCTCGCCTTCTTCTATAAAAAAAAGTTTAAAAAACATTTTAGAAATGACGAATTAACGAGAAATGAATTATTTACCTTCTTCGCCTTCTTCAAGAATTGTTGGTATCCTTTCCTCTTCCTCTTCTTCTTCTACAGCTAACATTAAATCTTCCAGAGCAATGGTGATTTCTTCGGCTTCTTCCTCCCCAATTTCTTCCTCTTCCTCTTCTACTTTTTCTTCTTCTTCTTCACTCTCATACTCTAAAAAATGAGAATTTTAAATTATTTTTTTAATGCTAATCGATTTCTGCATCTACCTGATGGTGGTTCAGACATGATCCAAATAACGTGTTTCTTTTCAACTTCTTCTTCTTCTTCTTCTGGTTTAACTTCGACCGGTTCTAATTCTAAACCATACGGTTTACATTCATTATCAACTTCAATGGCTAACTTTTCACAAATATCCATTAAATATTTCTTAGTGTATCTCATTGTGGGCTTCTTCTGAACTTTTAAACATCTCATCAGTCCTAATGCGATCAATAATTGTCGATAATTAGGTGTTAGTTTGTTTTCTTGTTCTTTTAAATGTTTCATAATCAGTTTGGTGGTTAACTCAATCCTCATTTTTAACCATATTCGAATACACTCCTTAACTGATTGCTTTTTACCTTTACGTTTTTTTTTACTTTTCTTTGGTTTACATTTTTTCTCTTCATTCTGTTTTTCAGATTGTAGTAATTTTACTAATCGAACAATCCGATCGGGATCTAATCTTTGATTATATTTTTCTAATACATCCAAAATATAAACCGATTTTGGAATAGATAGTTGATCAATTCGTTCTGGGCATATGTGTGGAATTTTGCATCGCTTAATTTTTCTTGCAGGTAAACTAGGTTGTTTAGGTTTTCTAAAATCAAATTGATTAAAAAAATGCCAATAATACAAGTAGTAAATGTATTTTCTTACGGATTAGGAAGGCATAAAAGTTTTAAATGTTGTTTTCGAGTCAGTAATGATCGATCGATAACTCGGTTTTTATTAGTCTTCAAGACAGTTTGAAAAAATGAGTCTGATTCGCTGGAACATTCAGATACATCTGATAGATTCATCTTGAACTCTTTAATTTTGAACTAAAATGGATTGCAAATGATTATAATTCACTCAAATTTTGCTCTTTATTACACAATGATTTTGACACCTATCAATTTGACTGCTATTCTTATTTTTGATTTAAAAAAAAACCAATGATTTGATGATGAATATTGGCTTGCTATAAAATCTTAACCAATTCCTTTTTCTGTTCTATTTCTATTTTTAGTTGCTTATTTACAAGAAAATTTATCTTTTGGAGACTTTTGTTTCACTCTGTATATAATGTGAGCATAAGAAGGGGATAAAACTTAAATAACTATATAAAGAAATATTTGATAAGATGTTAATATGGTAGTGAAGCTTGTTAATGTTACAAACGAGATTTTAATGTTGAAGTGTACTTTTTGTTAACTAATTGTAAATAATAAAAATTTTAATTTAACCCGCATTTATGCAACCCATTTTACATGTGTATAATAGAAATTGACAACAGTAAACAATAAAATTTAAAATAAATAATAAAAAAGGTAACCAAAACAGCGTATTATTATTGTTTAATGATATTAATAATAAATATTAATTAATATCTTAAATTCTTTTAAAGAATTCTACCTTAATAGGCGCCATCTATATTACGATAGATTAAGCTTAGGTTGTTTAAAAATATTAGTATTTAAAATAATTATTTATATAAAGTAATTATAAAATAGTACAGACCATTTTGAGATGTTTAATACAAATAATATAGTCATATGTTAGAAATAAAGCAATAAGATGTAATAATAAATTGGAACGTTCGAATAAAATTGAAACCATCTTTGCTTTAGGTGAATTCGTTCGTTTAACTGATTAAATTGCGGCAATCAAAGTGCCGTTATCCTCGTACCGCCGATAACCGGATCTAATAATTCCCCTCTTTCGTTTCATCGCACTTTTACGGTCAATTTCGCGTGGTTTATGCCCGAAAGGGGCGTCTAGAGGCGAGTCGTCTACGATCGCACCCAACCCCTAGTTCGCGGGTCGTGGATTTATCGGTTATGTTCGCACCGTAATATTCCCGTGTACTTTAGTACGTAAATTTCGGGGTAATATTTCAAGAGAATTCAGGAAATAATTCTCCCTTTACGCTCGCTACCTTTTCGCGTTTATTATTATTAGGTTTTGGATGTTATAAACGTTTATAATTTTCATTTTATTTTATGATTAGAAAAATGTGTTCTAACTATACCGGGAATTTCATATAACTCGCAATATATCAATGCACTAACCAATTACCAAACTTTATGCACTAGCACTGTCCCACATAAAATGCAACATAGCATAATAGTACAGGCATTGAGTAGTTTTGCAAAGAAAAAGTATTGATTGGAAAAGGTGCCGTCCTTATAATAACTCTGAATTTCAGTCTTAAGAGACACAAGAAGTTTTTGTTCAATAAAAATATACCACAATCTAACGCTGAATGACAATTAAAACTAGAACTAGCACTAGATCAAGAACTAGAATCATTCGGGTTTAGCCACACGTCTTTCAAGACGGCTAAACCAGAATGATTCTAGTTCTAGGTCTTGTGTTTGTTTTAGTGATAATGATAGTGTAAAACTAGAACTAACACTAGACCAAGAACTAGAAACATTCGGGTTTAGCCGCACGTCTCTCAAGACGGCTAAACCCGAATGATTCTAGTTCTAGGTCTTGTGTTGGTTCTAGTGATAGTGTTAGTTCTAGTTTTAGTTCAATAAAAATATTTACATAGTGATATTTTATGCTAACTAGCGCTACCTACCACCTTCCAGCCATCTTAAGAGAGGTACGGCTAAACAGAATGTTTCAAGTTCTAGGTCTACTATTAGTTCTAGTGCTAGTGTTAATCTAGTTTTATTTGTTATTCAGCGCTAGATTGTTGTATATTTTTATTGAGCTGTAAAAGACAACGTCTTCCCCATCCAATTATATTGACATGTTACATTTTATGTGGGACAAAGTATATTTCTTTTCGTATATTCTGTTTTAAACAGCATATTATTTTAGACAGGGGCAATACCCCGAATATAATCAGCTAGAATTCTTATCAAATGGGGATGTTTGCATTTCAAATACACCGGTTGCCCTCTTTGAAGGAAGTTTAGCCTTCCATCTAAAATGCAAATCTCCACTACGTTCGGACTTTTCCTTGTATATAGTTGAAAAAGGACCCAGTGGACCCGAGGGACAAGATGTTAATTTTTATCCCCTCGCGTGGACGTTACATCACGAAAAAGTGTACGATCTTTTTCCTCCTCCACGAACTCAATTCATCTTAAATTTTATTGTTCTCATTTCGAAACGACCTCATTAATTCGTCACTTTTCCTCGGTGGTATAATACATATTTTAATATAACTTCTTCATTATGTTCGCGACGTCATTAACAGGATTAATGAGTGCGTTGGAAAAACGCAAACGAACCGGCTAGTCCATCCAGGGCATGCAAATGGCGATATGATTAATAGTGTACCGAGCAAATGCGGTTGATTTATATAGGGTGCATCTGTCGTTAAGGATTTGATAAATGGCACACGCGTAATGTATAGAATCATAATAATCGTGTGCTTGGCCGTATAATACTGAATACAATATCGACAATGTGTAACACCTATTTACCAATTACTTTTTAGAAATACACGTAATTGGTGTTTAGAAAAATATATGTTATTATATGGTCATAAATCAAAATCAATAATTAGAGTTAACCTCCAATTTTCTGGATCTATTTGATTTAATATTATATAGTGTGCCGTATAAATTCAATATAGGCTCAAAATGTATGTTTTGAAAAGCCAAAATGAAGTCTATTTTGGTTGTCTTACTTCCGCTCATCATTCCGGAAGTAAGACAACTGGAAAAAGATTGTAATAGAAAAAAGACACTTGTGATAGACTGGAAAGACAATAAGGAGGCTGGTCATAGAAGAACATTCCTGGATTGAAATAATTTACACTGCAAAGTTACCAATAATAGAAGAAAGAAGATGAACAGAGAATAAAAGACAAGAAATGTAAGTCTGAAAATACACTAAATGTAAATGAATAAAATTGAATAGAAGTGAGAGAGATTTCTTAGTGGAACAAAGAGACTGTATAAAGGGCAGAAAGATAAGAAGGAAACCTGTATTGGAAGAAAGAGACTATATAGAGACTAAAATAGGAAGACAGAGACAGTGTAGAGATGAGAGAGACGGAAAGACTGAACAGAAACTGGCAACAAGAATAAGCACACTGAAAAGAGAGTTGTAGTAGAAGAAGGAGTGTGTGCAGAAAAAAGTATATCCAAGTAATATGTATCCAATAATATGCAGAAAAGAATCGAGACTCCCTCTACATATTTCGCTTCTATAGAAGTAGTTATTTATATCAGACCATGAGATAATAACAAATAAGGATTATTTATTATGATATTTTAATAATTTCAAATACATTTCGGATAACATCAATTCAACTGATCCATTTTACTTTTGAAGAGTCAACTTACAGATTCATGCACAAAATTTTGTGTATACCATCAACATATTTGTGTTTCTGAAAAAATATTGTTTGATTTTTGCTACTTTAGTCTAAAATTGTAACAGTTCATGATGGCTTTTAGGAATTGTTTGTTGACACTATCTCAATGATCTTCTATTTGGTGTTGAATTCAATATAATTTTATAGTTCAGGTTGTGTTTTATAACGTTTCATCAAGTTTGTGTGTTTTTTTAAATGATATTCTTACTTTATGGTTGCTCATCAAAAATGAGAGGGGTGATATATTTATATCAAAGGGCATAAGCTCACATTAAGCTGTAATTTTTCTGGCAGACGCAATCACCAGTATACTGTTTCTACCAGAGTCACCTCCAAACGTGTCAATTTTGATATATACGAGACATTTAACAATTCATCACAAAATAAGGTCCTTTTATATTATTGAAAGGATAAGATGCATGGATAAGATGGATTCTAGTCTTTTTATCGGTATACACTTGCAGTTCAGCTTTTGAGAACCAACTTAACTTAACCCAACTTTTTTTTCTTATAGAGAATTGGCAAAATTATAAGCAGATATTGATCGGTGCATAAAACATCACCCGTTGTGCTATAAGAGCATATCAGCAATACACCACAGTCTCAAAATAAATATTTACACAACCCTAAAAGGAAGGTTGTTCCAAAATATCTTTTTAGACAACAAAAAAAGCTATAAAAAAGCTATTTGAATTTTTATTTATAAAATAATTTTATTGATTCAATTTAATTTATTGTACAAAATAATACCATTATTAATAATTGCGAATGAGGGTAGTGATGAATTGCTTCGATAATGTTCTTTTTACATTTTATTCAAATTCTATATAAATATGGCAGTACAATAAATTGAAGTGGATTTAAAACAATTTCGCTCTTTTATCATTATTTCCCAACATAAACCAATTTAATATAAACATATTTTCCGTTTTAATTCAAAATTATCTCTTTGTCCTTTGATATACATAACAAAACACTTTTTGAAAAACTGAAAACATAAAATTCTACCTACACTTAACAAGAACAAAGCGGTTGTCGGCAATACGTCAACGTGGAACAAAGGCGGGGTACCAACGTTTGTTGATGTCCCGTACGGCATTGGGAGTCAAAAATGCATAACGCCAATTACCGCGCGATGAGAACAGAACAAAAGGGGGCTTCCATACGGTGCATTGTACGCATCCGTTCATAATTCACGTCGCTTTATTAAGTTACTGAATCGGGGAGTGGAATAGGGACGGTCGAGATCGAGAGGCGGAGGGTGGGATATAGGGGATGTAGCCGGTCGCTTTTCCACGTTATCCGAAGCCGGGTCGTTTTTGCCCGTGCAATCGCGTTCGGCTCTGAAATTAATGCCTTTCGCACACCGCCGAAGGGTGTATTAATCTGGGGGCGGTAAATTCTGGCGGAGGAGATGGTATTAAACTATTTTAGGGCTTTATTAAGACGATGGCGATGTTGCCTGGTTTTCTGATAGGGTAATAGAGGTGAACAATAAAACATTTTCTCCCTTCATCGTTGCTGGGGGAATTACTGACACCAAGTGTTAAAAGATAAGATACAAAATGTTAAATCGCACCTTTTTAGAATGCATCGAAATTTAATAACGAAAATGGACGTAACATTTTATGTCTATGTTTTAGTCGCTTAATTAAAATTTATATTGAAATTCGGCATGGACTCGTTGCTTTTACAGCGAGTCGTTAATTTTCGACAATCGGATAAGTGAATCCTCGTGTTCGCTATGCAGACCCGGCCGCCACCTCATTTATCGCCCCCTTCTAACCCCCATCCTTTCGAGTCACCACCCCTTCGTCTGTTTACTCCAATTTCGTTTCCCTCGTTAATAAGGATATTTTATTGCCGGGCAAATCTAGAGGCGGATTACGAAACGCGGCGCGCGATGAAAGTTGTATAAACGAATTAAGGGGCGGCATATCGACGTTTTTATTGCCACGGGGGTTCCGAAATAATTCCCTCTCGCAATGGGATTTTCGTCCTGGTATTTGTCGGTATTTGTCCGTACCCGTTGTATAGTCGGATATTTTTTTTCTGTTTATATAGGTGTTGACAGTTTGGAGTTTCGACGGTGTGCAGGTAATAGTATTACCCAATTTTTGTGTTAACTTCGTATTGAGGATTAACTCGGTTGTGGTTCTGATTGGTAAAAATGGTGGAAAATTTATAATACTTTCATTATATTTTTATTTATTTTTCAAAGTTAACAATATATATAATCTTATATAACAAAACCTTCACATGCAATTTGTACATTTATTTATAAAAAATATACGAAACCTTAATTAATTAATACAGCTAAGTCTTATTATAACCGATCTCGAATAAAATCGGGTATTCCCCGAGTTGTCTATGCGATGTATAAATCAAGGACGGTAGTTCTAGTTTTAATTGTTATTCAGCGCTAGATTGTTGTATACTTTTATTGAACTAAAACTAAAACTAACACTAGACATAGAACTAGAAACATTCGGGTTTAGCCGTACGTCTCTTAAGACGGCTAAACCCGAATGATTCTAGTTCTAGGTCTAGTGTGAGTTCTAACGCTAGTGTTAATTCTTGTTTTAGTTGTTGCTCAGCGCTAGATTGTTATATAATGTTATTGAACTAAATTTGCTGATTCAAAGTGTGAAATAGTAGTTGCCTATCCATGCGTGACGTCACGAACGGGCCATTTGGCTATAACGGTCACTCCCTTCCCCATATTAGTCCATTATATCGAGATTTTACTATGCAGGGTGAGTTATTAGTATCCCGGCGGTCGATAGTTACTAAACCATTTGAAAAAACAAAAAAATATTTTATACAAAAGTTGTTTGACTCATCACTTTCTATTACGTAAAATTATTTTCACTTATACAGGATTTCCATTTAAGTGTAACGTCAAGAGTACGTCAATTTATTTAAATGGAACACCCTGTATATTTTATCATATTATGTTATATGTTACTATTTCACAGTGTTCATAGTTCCTGAGATATTCAATTGTTCTTCCAACATGTACCTGTTACAGGATCTTTTTGAAAACGATGTAAAAACAACGTTTTTTCCGATTTTGCCTTGACACTACGTCAGACAATAGTCAAAGTCAGTAGGTAGATGATAGTATTCAAATATATTAGATACACTATACAGGTTGTTTATAAAGCTGAGTTACTTTTGATGTTTTTCAAATGGCTTTTTCTTAAGTTTTTTGAATGAAACACTCTGTATATTCTGTACTAGTTGAATTGCTCATCCAGTTTCCTTTACTTAATGATAAGTATGTCATATGTCTAAGTTTAATAGTTTTCCTGATATTTAGAATTTAAAGAATAATGTGTAATACTATCGTCCGCCGGGATACTAATGACTCACCCTGTATAAATATTTAAATTTTTACATAAAAAGAATTAAATAGTATCATAACATTTCTTTCCATAACAATTTTTCCTAGATTCACTAGGTAACAGTAATTGCTATAATTCCTCATTACAATTTTCAATATTTTTCGATAATTTTCGTTTTATAATCGGTAAAAAGAATAGCATTAAACCGCTTAAAGCAATCGCAATACCGGCCATAAAAAATCCCGGATCGAATGATTCTAATATATCGTAAAACATACCACCTATGGGTGGACCGATAAATGAAGCGATTCCTTGAAAAAATAACAATATTCCGAAAGCATTCGTTATCTTGTCAACTCCGAGCAAATCGACTAAAATAACGGATGTTAATCCGACGTAAGCGCCCACGGTCAGTCCGAAAATTAAAGCGTACACGAGAAGGGAATAAAAATCGGTTGCAAATACACTCAAAGCAGTTGCAAACCCACAAATTGTAAGACAGGAATTGTAAACCCACAATCTGTTAATCCAAGGTTTATCCGATATGTAACCAAGGATAATTCTTCCTAGCGTGTTTGCTATTCCTATTATTGCCAAGAGTAAACTGGCGTGAGAAAGAGGTATATCCAAAGATAAAGCTCTTGGGACGATATAAATAAAAGGAACATTAAATCCAATACTCGTTAAAACATTACTGATAACAAAAAGGATAAAAGTTACATCCTTAAAAAGTGTTACGTCAAATAATTTCTTTTTTATGATTATTTTTTCCGAATTATTATTAATTTGTCGAAGTTCGAATTTTTCGGGTTGTAACGATTTAGTGACATAATTTTTTTCGTTAATATATTCCGCGATATTTTTAATTTTATTTTTTTTTATACATTTTTCATTTTTTAATGGTCTAAACAACGTTCCGAAAACGATACATTGCAAAACGATTCCAGATAAAACAATCATAACACCTTGCCAACTATATAATTCCATAAAACAATAAATAATAGTCGGAAATATAAACGTTCCTATTCCAGATCCGCAAACAGCAATTCCAGTGGCTAAAGATCGCTTCTTTTCGAAGTACACCGTAACTGAGACGATGGCCGGTAAATAAACTAACCCAAATCCTAATCCACCTCCAAACCCGAGAGTAACACAAAGTGCGATTATACTATTCGCCCAAAAACTTACAAAGAACGAAAAAGCTGCTAGAATTGTTCCCCCGAGTGTAACTGCTCTACATCCATATTTATTAACTAAAATTCCAGCGATCGGTCCGGAACAATACGTCATTCCATATAAAATCGATAAAATCCAAGCGGTTTCCGATTTATGAGAGTTGAAATATTTCAAAAAATCTTCATATAACATACCAAAAGAATATGTAATTCCATCATTGATAACATGAATCATAAAAGATCCAAATACTATAATCCAACCCCATCCACCATCAGGCGGTGTAATCGTATTCTTTTGACCTTGCATCACTTAAGTTTATATTTTTTTCTAAACCACATAAGACGATGTTTCAATTTGAACTGATCAAATCTCTCCAACGAATTTCGAATAGTTAGCGTAATGACGTTCGTATCAATATGTTTGTTAAATTTGTGATAACTCCAGAGGAATTTGCCTAAAGCATACATTCATAATTGGCTGTTAAACGGGATGGGGGAAGGTCGGTCGAGATAGTGCATAAATTTGTATGATAATCGGACACTAATTTGGAGTTTGGTCTCCAACAAAACGGGATATGGTATGCATAATCTGTTTTGTTTGCCGAATTGCTGCGTAAAATTACTTTACACGATTTTAGTATGTTGTTTATTAGTTTTTGAACAAACGACATACCATAAAAGATAGGTGCTATTTTTGATCCTTTTATTAATTTAGTTAATTAAACAAGGATGTAACATTATAAACAGTTTTTTTTTTCAATTTTATTAAACAAAAAAGTGTTAGAAATGGCACAAAATACGTAAATTTTTATTTAGAAGGTTAAAATTAATATGAATACATGATTTATAATGCGCGTCAAATGTAATAAAAAATTGTTTAACACTTAGTTTTTGAGGTAAATAGGTCAACTTTATTTTTTTATTATAGCAACTTATTGTGTACAGGGTGTCCAAATTTCGATGGGTTTACAGGGTATCTCAGTTATTATGAAAGATAGAAAGTTGCGGCTTTCGCGAACCTGAGCTACTTTTTTGTGAAACTTACAATGGCGCAAACCAAATTTTCATAGCTCTCGTCGTTTTTGATATACAGGGAGTGTTTCAAAATTTACGATTTTCAGACCCCTCTGTATCTCGGCTAGCCGTAAACGTAAAAACGGGTTCTAATACATTTTTTCATGTAGAATCCAATGGTGCACGTAGAATTTTTCTAGTCGTCACGGTTTTTGAGTTATAAAGAGTTAAGTATTTTAGAAGCTGAGTATTCAGTATTTGAATTGTGTTTATAACTCAAAAACCGTAATGACTAGAAAAATTCTACGTGCACCATTGGATTCCACATGAAAAAATCTATTAGAACCCGTTTTTACTTTTTTACTAAGTTTCCGGATAGCCGAGATATAGGAGGTGTTTGAAAATCTTAAATTTCAAACACTCCCTGTATATCAAAAACAAAGAGGGCTATGAAAATTTGGTTTGCGCCATTGTAAGTTTGACAAAAAAGTAGCTCAGGTTCGCGAAAGCCGCAACTTTCTATCTTTCATAATAACTGAGATACCTTGCAAACCCATCGAAATTTGGACACCCTGTACAAGTAGCAATTGTAATCAAATAGAAGATCTTTTTAATTGTGCTAAGCTTTCGAAAAATTTATATGTTTCTGCGAACTACGTAAATATAACTAGATTTGGGAATGATGTACAGCACCGCTCAAAAGTGTATCATATTTTTGTTTTGTGTGCAACTTTTTTCCTACTTAACTTTTTGATCTAAAACTTTCACACACTATTTCGGGAAGTATTTCACGTGTTTCAAATATGTTTTGAACATCAAACACACACCAGCTTTTATAAACAAAATAATTTGTTAAAATAACGCAAAATGACAAATCCAACAATAGTGAAAATACAAGATATTTCTAAAAACTCTGAACTGGTCTATACGACTACGTTTTTTCCTAACACTGTATGCTTTGAGGATCATTGACTGCCCACGCTTTTGATCAATTAATGATATTGTATTTACGTTAAACATAAATTGCAATTAGTTGAAATCAGTACCAACTACGATGAGGTAACTTTTGTAACTGCAATGACGTAAACAAGGCTTGCAGATATTTAAAAATACCTTTTTTCTGGCTTAATCACTTATGTAATCAAAATCTTATAAGAGACAAAAACGGTTCAGAACTAAATATTCAGAAATTATGATAATGTAATAAAATTGTTGGCTGGCCAGAAAAAAAAAATATGGAGGGACCACATGACTTTTCCATCATTCCTGTGTTTCTAAAATTGTATCAAAAACCATAAAAAGACGTTAATTGAACCTAGGAACTCACTTCAGAAAAATGGGTTCAATTGATTTACGCGTTTTCGAGTTATAAAAAATAAAAGAATTTTTTTTGCTAACTTTGAACTTTGAAGCAACTTTTGATATAGATAACTTAACTTAAATCGACCTATTTTGAGCCAAGGAATCTGTGATCTTCCGTTGTACATGCATTTCAGAGACACATCTGTATATTCGAGATCATTGGCTACTGAAGAGAGTGCTTTATTCATCAAGATATAGACATACACAACATATGAACGTCGAGATGGACCTGGGCTGAAATTTCTTTGCTATTTTTGTTAATGATTAGATTTTCTTTGTTTAGAAACTTTCTTTACTTCATGGAAATGTCTTTTTGTTGTTTTGGTCTAATCTTTAAATTAATTATAAAAGATTTGGCAAACAGCAAAATATTTTGAAGTAAAATAATACAATCCATAAATCAAGAGAGATAATCAAGAGTGTTAATTCAATAATCTCTATATACCGAGAGTCACATAAACCTTCATGTTCAGATTATAATTTATTTTAATAAATTCGCACGCAATTACGCAGATGCAACGCGAACACGTTCAAACCTGATACGTTCGGACCCTCGTTTCAATTAACCCCTGTCCGATCACTTTTTAACCCTAACTCGGCCACAGTTTTTAATCAAAATGTCAATCAAGCAGCGTCTCGTTAATAACCGATGTTGGGATGCAAAGTGTAGCGCACGCGTCCTCGGCGTCGCGACGCCGACGTCGTCGTCCCTCTTCGGATGTTTACATCAGTCGTGCGCTGAGCGTCGTCGAAAAGACGTCGGCGTCCATTATACCGTCCAAAGAAAAAACGCGCGATCTATACATCTAGAAAAGTTTTTGGATACTTCGAACGCAAGTTCTTTGTTTATCATTGAAAAATTAAAAAAAATATTTACGTTTATGTTTGTTGGTATTCTCGATTTTGTTTGGCGGAATTTAGTGGTTTATTAACTGGGACTTCCGGCGTCGTATCGCACTCGGCTTATGCCCTCGGGTATTATACGGCAATTGAGAGTAGGTAAGTAATCGATGTCGTCCAATATAATGCTTCGTGTAATTGGTCGCGATCTCGTGCGCGAACGCTATTGTCGGGTTGTGCTGCCTTGTAATTTAGTCACGGCTTCGTGAACAACGCTAATCCGGTTTAACGGCCGTAGTCAGACCGCTGAAGACTCCGGGTTCTACATGAAAAACGAACATCCGGGCGACTCTCGTCTGAGAAATTGATGCTATTTTACTAGGTTTTTCTAAGGATTCCTTGAAATGTCTACAGTTAATTGTCTTTTTAAATTCAACTTCAAAACCATGTAAATTTAATCCAAGTATAAGATGGTTTAAATTAAATTGTGAAGCTATAGTAATTTAATTTGATGATTTAACCAGCGCGTCCACCATATTTTCTTTTGTTCTAAACTAGTATTTATGAAAATATAATAGTAATAAAATCAAGTTTTGATAAATTTAAAAGGTCATGTAAACATTTAATGTGCTATATTCCTGATGATGACCACATAATATCAAAACGACATCTAAGATTTGACCCAATTTATGCATGGTTTGATTGTCTTCCGTCCTAGATATTGTTCTCTCAAAGTCTAATAGCCATCAACTTAATTGCTTGCATCCATCGGGAATCATCAATCAAAAGCTATGGAGCAGGCGACTGATTACAACGTGAGAGGTAACGTTATTAACGCGAAAGACAACGGTTATTCATCCCGAGAAAACCGACTATTTAATACAATTACGAAATGATTTTTTTATTTTTTCATTCCATGAAATTGCTTAAAACGAAAAAGTAAAAATGGTTTTAGATTAGATGGGAAACGAGTACGAAGTCGTCGGCAATTAGTGGACGATCTAATCCATCCTAGTCGAGAGTCGGTTGCGGAATTGAGATGCGGACACGAACCGAGCGAGCGAACAAGTTCCATCCGGTACGCGATCTGCGCTTGCCATTTGCATCTTCTATCCGAATTTCTAGCGAGAACGTGGAGTAGGCGAACTTCGCCGGAACGCCTCCGGAGAACAAAAAGTTGAAACTGGAACTTCCATAATCTCCGGCTTAACACCCCTCCCCTAAGAGGTGAACGTCGCGATAATGTTATAACTAATTACGGAGTGGCATAACGTGAATGTATTATACACGGATATTTCAAAACCGTTTGAAAAACTAAGTTTAATTAAACTTGGTAGTAATCATGTTGTATCCAATATACAACAATTTATGGCAAAAGTCGTCAAGTAGTTAATAATATCATATTTAATCGAAAATGCTTCCAAGAGATAGAGTTAAATTGGAACAAAGTGAGATCATCTGAGTGAAATGAAACACGATCGATTATGGTGTAATGTTCGAATCGCTGATATTACTACACAGCTATTGATGTTGAGAGATTACATGTTGCTATTTCACATATACATTGGCATAAAGATTACACAACACTTTATACTAGGAAGAAATACAGAAACATTGAATTACTATTTTGAACATGCCAATGGAATTTTATTAGATTTGGGAAAAAAACACAGATTTTTGCGAAGATTGACTTTCTTTTAAAGAAGCGATCGTGTAGTGGTCCTATTCTGTGAGGTATAAAGAACGACTAAAGAACGTTGAAAACAAAATCGTGCACAATAAAGCTACTATTGTTACCCAATTATAAATTAACCCAACCCAACCTAATCCAACCTTTTTTTTTTGTGCTGGGGAAAAGAAAAATGCGTTATACTGTTAGCGCCTTAAAGTTGCAATAAGTAAATGATATCTCTTTCATCGGGAATCTCGGACTTCTTTTTCTGTTCTTTTCAAATATGGAACTACCCTTACAGGTTTTCTCCATCGTACTGGTGGCTTTTGTTTCCGTATTTTATTTTAATCTGACCTTTTTCCTTTCTCTTTTGTACCGACAACATCTCTGACATATTCCTCCACCGCTACACAATTCTTATAACTTTCTGTAATGGTCTTTACGCAGATATCTTCTTCCTACTTTATTCTCCATCGATATTCGTAAGTCTTTCGACATGTCACACAGTGTAGTCTTATTCACCAACCCAACTCAACCCTTTTTTTTTGCGTTAGGGAGGAGAAAAATACTGTATGCACTAACCCGGTCGGATATACGCTTGATGAAGTAATGGAAATTTTATCCAACCAGGAATGTGGAGCTCCGTCGGATACGGGGATTTTTGTGCCGGTCTTTTGATGGTTACGCCACTAAAAAATTTTCCACGATTTCCTCGTTTACAGATTTTAGGCGACTTGGACCCGCTTACGCATTACTGCAGGATCGTCGTTGCGAAATATGCCTTAGAAAGTCCATCGCTATGGTGCTTTATGACCCATCCAGTATACGGGCGATACCCTCCACGATGACTGCTTCTCCCAACTTTATCTCAGCTGTATTTCTTAATTGCTGGAATCTATTACAGCAGAAGATAGTATGTAGTGATGCGTCGAGCTTCCCATATCCAAACCAATTCGAACCCAACTTCGTAATCCAACTTTCGTAAGTTGCTCGATATTTTTCTTCACTTTTAAACCCAACCCAACCCAAAAACTGTCAACGTTTAGGAAGTTTAATTCATTCTTGAAGTACTATTGAATGAAATCAAATTATTCCTAACCAATCATCATCATGAAAATCAAAGGCATGCAGCACAGATTTAACCAACTACCGCACGATCAATTAGCAGATTTCCAAATTATTAGTCTTTGCGAGGCCATACGGTATTTCAGCAGCGGAATCGTTTTTCAGTTTTGCATTTTAAGCACGATAGTGATAGTTCTAGATAGCAAAGAAATCGATCGATCGCACAACAGTTGCGCCCGATGAGACTTCATACCAATGGAAAGATGCTTTTTGGCACAAAGATGTATCGACAATCTCACAAAAGTTAATGACACATGAGGTCCAAAGATGTGTCTAAACATATCGTGGTAGCAACACAAAGTTTGCACAATCACTCTCGAATGCCGCGTTGTTTTTGAACACACCCCAAGAGGTATTTTATGTTGGTAGCAGAATGGCATCCGAAAAGATATCCAAATTCAAACATGATAAACACGATATGTCATAAAATAGAGAATATTAGTTTTAAAGTATAAATCTTCGCTCAACACTTTCAAATAAGATTTCTTTAAGTGAAATATGCAACTTTTCTCTTCCAAACATTTTTCTTATTAAGAAAATGACTAGTGTTATTTATAATGCCATTATAAAATAGATGATAAAATATATTTTAAACAATATTTTTAAATTGAAAAGATACGTATTTGTCGGTAAACTAAAAGTAAATTAATGAAATTCCTATATATAACTGATAATAGAATTTCGAAAAGCGACATAATTTATTACTCATGTCGACGGCAATTTTCGAATTGAAAATCGGATCCACGAAAAACACTCGGATATTCGTAACCGAGTTTTGTTTGTCGGGTCACCACCGTCGGAAAATTCGTGCAACACAATGAATAATGCGAGTCTCTAACTGAACGTGATTAATACCCGACAAAATGGTTTTAACGATTTCCAACTCTATACATTTTTCCTCCTTTTTTTCGCAGCTGGTGTCTCCTCAACTCGGCAAACTGACCTAACTAAAATCCCCCTATAGGACAAACGGCGGAAGAAATGAGACCGCCAATTGTGGTTCTTCCACCAGCATCTGGCTTGCACGCGATTACCACGATGACGACGACACTCCAAGCTTCGTGAATTGGCTGGCGTCGTCGTCAAAATGTCGCCGCACTCGACCGGAGTCTTCGTCTTTGTCGTTTTGGTAGCGATAGTACATTGGCGTGCACCCCCTGGGGCACAAGCCAGACTCATACAGAAAGGTAAGTGATCTTCTCGTCGTGGTTTTATCGATTGGGAAAAGACACGGTTTGTGTGGTCGTTTTAACACTATATCTTATTTACCTAGGATGACTAAAAATAGAAAATAAATTATGAAATTTAATAATTAAATCGATATTACATTAATGATTTTGTTATATAATCTCTAATGCGTGCTGTGAATCGTTATATCTTTTGGGTACCATCATTGATACACTTAAGCGTGGTCACGTACGGTTTTTATATGGTACCTCCGATGGGACGGTTTCCGCCAATAGAGGATGATGTAAGGCACTCCCAAAGGTCGGGTGGAAAACCGTCGTTATACCAGGGTTACTATGGCCGTTATCTCGATGTCTCCGCAATCAATGTTTTATAGATTTAATGGAAGGGGTTAAATGGCAACCCATTTCCGGAGTTATTAATACTTGAAAGCCGGTCCTATAAAAGTAATGTTGAATAATAGTATCGAGGGAGAAGCGTAATAAGTTGCAAATGGCGAAAGTTGAAACGATATAGAAAATTGCATTGTCGCCCCATGTTTGTACTGTTGAAAACTTAATGAAGAAACTTTAATTGAAGCCGGATTTAAAAAGGCGAAAGTCATAATTACCGCGTCGGTCGCAACCACCATTCCCGCCCCTTTCGCCGTAGGAAAATTGCGGAATTTTAATTATGAATTAGTTGCGTACAAGTTCAAAGTGTTTGCACCTGTGTCCCCGTTTCGTTATCTACTAAAAGTTTTCCCTCGGGTTGGTACGGAGAAAGGCACCCACTCACATTAATACTCTTTTGTGAGCCTTTTTTCCTACACTTTCCTTCGCACGATAACAACGCTCGCGTGTTAAGCTAATCTTGTATCGTTAGAAGAAATATTATAGTTGAAAATAGACGGAATTTTTGAAAAGGTTACGTTTTAGTTAATTGACGTCACTCTATATGCTTTAATAATACAATTAAAGGGGATGTTCTGCTATAAAATTTATCTATTTTAATACAAACTTTTTTGTCTCCACTGTATCTCTTCAATTGATACAGTGGAGAGCAACTTTTATGCAAAAGTTTCTAATTTTCTACATTTTTTTTGGTTTCCGTTTACTTTTAATGAATTTGATTTTTTATTAATTTATATATTTTTTGTTATTTTTGTGCATTTAGTTATATATTTTTTTGAAACAAAGGACACACATTGTTTGAACGACCAAAACTTTACGACACGGACGCCCGTTAAATGGGCTGCGAAAGCCACATGTTTACAACGTCGAAACCACACGGTATTAATTAAACAAGTGAACGGAGAACCGGATGTGTTCGTACGTGTCGCACGTGTCGTCGTATTCGCTGCCAAAGACACAATCGATAAGCTGAAAACCGCAACTCTTTTTCAAAGAGCCGGAAAAAGAGAAGGTATTGAAAGGAAAGCCGCTACCGATTAAAAAACTGTCGTTCGCATGCACGAGTTCCAAGACTACGCAGAAATCGGGGAAGGAAAGCGACCCTTCTGCCGTTTCAACGTTCCAGTTCGATTTATATCCGGTAATAAGTCGGGTTTCTCTTATTTCCCGTCGAAAGTCAAAATTCAGCGTCTGTAGAAGATTTACGCGCTCACGAGATCAAAGGTGCTTCACCATCCGGAAATTTACATTAATAGGGCGGGCAACCCTGTTTACGTCACTTTGAACCAACGAAAATAGCCATTCAAACAGATTTTGAATAGAAGGGAACTTACATGGCCTTGACGAACGGAGTCAACAAGACCATTTTTGGAGAGGGTTGAAGAACGTACGTGTGTGTCAGCTTCTTTTTTGTTCGCAACTCGGGTAGAACAAACAAGTTTAGAAAAGCAATTTATCATCTACTTTTTTTTCTTGAGAGGAAGACAAAGAAATAAAAAATTTAAAGCGAAAAAGAATAAACTACAGCGTGGTCAACAGTATTCACCACGTCGTTTATATTTAACTTTTGCAACTTGGATTGGGAATCAACTATAAATATTCTCGTTGTTTGCTTAAATTTGGGGTGAAACGTCTTCATTTAAGTCGTCGCAAACTTCTGGAACTTGAACTTCCGGCTCGAATAATAAAGAGATAATGGAAGACAAACATTAGTCCAGTAGGTAATATTCCCGGTTTCTCACATTATACAGAGATATATTAAAAATCATGTTTTGCCAAACATTTCTCGTACGTTTTTGTGGATGATTGTACTTTTATGTCAACACAAATTTTGTACAAATTGGCTGTAGCAGCTATACTCATTAAAACACATTTTTAATAGGCAAATCTAACATGTTGATATAACATACGTTTGTAAAACATATTCTTCCAAAAATAGGAACACAACTAAGATGCCGAAACGAGTTATTTCAGCGAAATGAAGTAATCCTGGAATTGGGTTTTGTTGAGTTGAGATGGGTTGGTCGGGTTAGTTTGTACCTTTCTAAGAACCTTTGTACCTTGCAATAACTGCTCTTGACAAAGGAATGAAGTCAGCTCTGGGTTTTTCTGACTTTTCTTGCATGTAAAGACTACCATGTTTTGATATAGGTAATAATCTCAAAATTTGTCTTCCGATATACCATGGATCAATGTCATTATATCAACACTTATTATGTTTTATATTTTTCATTCAAAAAGTTACTTTCCATGGTTTTTAGTTTCGGGTTCAGAAAAAATTTTAATGTCAAAAACGTCAATTTTGGAGTTTTAGGACTTTCTTAACCATATATGTAAGTACGTTATTACCACTGATATCAGAAAATAGCTTTTACTAGTCATTTTTTAGATTAATTTCGATTATTTTTCATCCACAAAACTTATTTTTAGTTTTCAACAGAGATGCAATGTAATGTCAAAAACCTTTGGATATTATTATAATATAATATAATTATACAGAAATATCCCTTACGAACTAAACCATCTTTTCTCTTTTTCTCCTATGCCCAGTTTGGCAAGGTAATTCTGGAAGATGATGATTTGGCTTTGCTTCATATCGAGATTAGTTAATACAACCACAGAGCTGTATGAAACTTTCGAAAACTTCAATCTTCAAAAACGACGTTATTTCGCTATGGCACAACACGAACATGATTAAAATATAAAAATCCTCTTCGATCATATCAAAGCAGCAACAACCATCTGAAATTGAAATCATCATCACAGGTGCCATAATATGCATTTTCGCGAAGGTAACTATTGCAAGGATGAGCTAAAATTATTAGTATGTAACTAAAATTACTCATCTAGCAGACAAGCTACGTCATCTGTGGTAACATTTAAATATAAACAGTTATGTAAATAAAAGAAGAATATTAATATTAAAGTTAGGCGTAATTTAAAGCAGTTTCATGGTACTTAAAATGATGCATTTTTTGTTAGAAGTTGTGATAGAAGCTTTATTAAAAATTTTTCTCATTTTATTTGTGTAAAGTAGCCTTTGCCAATAGCGTAGTTATCTATATCTGCTTCACGAATGGAATCCCACGAATGCTGTCTAGTGTGACCGTATCAATAAAGCTTATCAATGACGCTTTATACGTTGTTTATGATATAGATTCCACGATCCCTGCTGCTCTTGTTATTATAATTTAATTTTTAACTTCTATTTTATACTTCTATTCAGCGTTAAATATTAAAGTCAGCTGGTATCAACAAATTAATTTAAAAGAGAATTGTTTAATAATCATTAATATGAAAGTACTAACTCTTCACAAAATAAATAAAATCAAAATTAGCATTAACCATCAATTTTATATTATGCCATAATCGCTCATAAATAATTCAATAAATGTGGATATAAAATTAATATTAAATGAAATTTACTTGTAATGTATGTTAATAATAATTAAATATTACCAACATCACTTACGAAATTTATATTTATTTCAGTAAAATCAATGAAATTAAAACATAACTGGTCAGAGAATCATAATTAAATGATGCACCGTGATAGAATCAATAGATTTCGGACAAAATCTATTTACCACAGCGAAGCGCAATATTTACAACATTGCCTTTCATTAGCAAGCATAATCAGCGGCTGGTCAAATTGGTTTTCATGGCACTCGAAAGTGAACCTACAACCCGTCGTTCTCCCGGATTCGGTTGTAAATTTCCATTGAATTAACACACCACGTCGCGTTATATTCACCACACCATATTATCTCGCGCAGTATGTATTTTTTATAAAGATTTATACAGCGCCGTTACAATTAATTAAATATAAAGAAATAAAATGATTTTCGTTTGCAAATTTGAATCAGTAAACGGCAAAATGAATTATTAAAAAAATAACGTTGCGACAGAACAGCTTTTTCGTCGGTTTCATATTAAAATATCAAGCGGTGGTACCCCATTAACTCTATGAATAATAAAAAACCGTTGGCGGTGGCTGCGGACACAAAGAACCCGTTGGAAAAGCTCGCAGATGGAGGGCGCTAGCGTCGTAATTGTTTTTGCCCGTAAGCAAAGCTGCCTTAAAAGCCGTCGCGTACGAAAGGGTCAATTAAAAAATCCGCGCACGGGAAATTAATGAACGCATATTACGCTATGGCGTTACAAAAAAGTGAAATACAACAAAAAAAAATAAATAAAAATAAAACCGGCGACGACCATAAATACGCGGACGAGCCGCCGGACGAGGGGGCTCTTATTAATGGTGCTTTTATTTGTGTCCATTTGTTCCGTGTCGCCGAAACTGCGGAAATGTGGGAGTAGAGGCATTCGGGGGCGCTACGAAACAAATGCGATAAATATGTCGACGCCGAACACCCCAAACAACTCTCTTTCTCACTCTATCCCCGTTCGTTGGAGTTAACTACGGATTATGCACGAAACGAACCGGATGACCGGAAGCCTACAACGTGATTGTGAGGATTTGTTGATACATGTGAAAATTTGTTCGATATACCAATAAAATTAATTGAAAAAGTATCGTAAATAGTCAATGTATTGTATTTTCTAGAGTCACCCTTAATTTCACGTATAAAGCTCAACGGTTCACA